TTCTAGAACTCGCACTGCTTAGAAACACCCCTATTAAACTGACTACATGTACACTATATTACTAAGTGGTGAAACTTAAGTCAAGGAAATGCAGTAACACTTTGATTAATCGTACTTATACCATTCGTATTTGTAAAACGTCTATTACTTGATGACTGCAGCGAAAGAATCATAAGGAATGGTCTCTTAAAATGTTATATTGTGAATGATGGCATTTCCTATCTATAGTTAAATGTTCAGTTTACAATGATGCACTTTGTAGATACATACATGCAAGTTGGCAATGTCAGGTTTTCTGTCAAGTGAATATAAAACGCCACTTAGGAAATCTCACCACATCTTACTTCACTTGGTCTACAGTTTGATGATGGCTTAGGTGTCTACTTTACATCAACTGAATTGTTGATTCTAATGAGTATGCTGGGATCATCTCCATTTGTGTTCAGGTTGACATGACGACTTAATTTAGGAACTAACGCAAAATTAAGGTTGATTCTCAGCCCACATACAAAAGTCGCCTGATATTACGCCTAGTATATAAGTAGAATTATGGGGTTATCAACTATCATGGTGAACGCACATTGATCCATACAAATGAAATGTAAAATATCCTTTCTTTTCGTTATCTCTTCTATAAGAATACTCAATTTCTACAACTCTTCTATTTAAAACAGTACTTTCCCATAATCGAGTTTTTTAAAATATTAAATCAACTCTAGCATATTTTTCTAGATATCACTACTGATAAGTAGTTTTATTTGTAGATATTATGAGTTACTGGTGTACGGTTCTTTATTAAATTACCAAGTGAGGGAATTTACTCATCAAATTATTTTTAAATAGTTCTTCATGGTTCTTTTACTCCTTACTATTTTGCTTTTCAAATTACTTGCCTATTGACTACAAAGAGCTGTCGGCCAGGAACTCCATACTGAACGATCAGGTAGTAGAGTTCCCTTATGGAGTTGCTATCTTGTATTTCACTCATCGATCCAAAGTTTTATGTTGAGATGCATCCTCTTTCTTAGTTTTGTATGCAAGTTGCTTGTGCTTCATGCTGAGAACCTGTCTTTTACTTTTACCAAACAGAGTCATTGTCGGTCGACGTTTAAAGCAGAGGCGTGTGGAATCATTAGGTCTCTTTCCTAAAGCTCGAGTTGTGCGTGGTATTGACTGGAGTTGGGACAGTCAAGATTGCGTATCACCCTTAACGTCATCAACAAGTGGATCGATATTATTAGGACCCTCAGGGTCTGCAATTGCCTGCCGGGCTAATATCAGCTCAAATAATGACAAAGCCTCTACTGGTCCCATCCTCTTACCTACACAAGGACGAATTACGGGTAGAAGGGATTGGTATCAGTGGGCACCACGGTCTGCCGCTTTAGTTGCTTGGGATAGTGGAGCGTATAATGTTTATCGTGTTGGATATGGAGGATTGGTGGACCTCAAAGTAAGTTCATCATCTTCAAATGAATTATATATGGTACATTTTTCAAGTCTGACGTTTATGAACCTTCATAATGCCAACTAAATTCATTTATATATTCCGCTTGAAATGTTTAGCTACTTATAAAAGTACAAGTAGTAAAGTTTTATCTCGAATATTCTAAAGCTTAATGCCATCACGAAGATTTCATTGGTGCAGTTAAATATCAGACGGAGTATACTGCAGACAACAGGACATGCTGTGACAACATTGGGTAAAAACTTACTAGCAAATAAGCCCATGGAAATCCCAATTAAGTTTTTTATCTTGTGTTTGTTCTCATTTTATGTGTACCGCCGCAGAAAGTTACAATCTCAAATCATCAAGTAATATAATGTCTGTGCCATCACCGTGAAATCATAAAAAAATATTAAATACTGTTCTGCCTCCTTATTCTGCCCCTCCTTTTTTATCACCTGGTTAAACGGTTTATAAACAATACTAAGCACGCAAAGAATCTTGCACAGCTATTTACTAACGCTTGCGGTACTCCATTCATTATTATGCTGGATTGGACTGATTTCACTGTTAGCCACCAAGCAAATAATGCAAAGTAGTTTCACATCAGCGTAGCAAGTAATATAACATCAGTTCAGTGTTTCAATTGTCCTTTTTTTAAGTTTGGCGGAATATGTGTCTATGCTGTATTTTCTTAAAGCGTATATTCACACACCTTTCGCTTCATCTGAATCTTGAGACCTGAATACTGCTTAGATTCAAACTAATTCCTCACATTTTCTGAAATTCAGTAGCTTTTTTTAATTAAGTATAGATCTTCATCACTGAACATCATGCACAATACCAGGTTGAGGTCATACAGTATTCATGGAACAAACTTTCTTTTTTGAGCACTTGTTGAATCATTGAGACATCGCTGTCGGAACCGGCTTCTAGTTTCTGACTGATATCTTCATGAAATGCTTGTAATTAGCTCTACAACAAGGCTTCTGCATAAAAAGACTCTGCTTTTACAAATTTTTGGGCAGAGCAAGAAATCCCGGATTAGTTCATCTTATATTTTCCTCTAATTTTAGCAGTTAACACCTGAGAAGAAAACTTAATATCACAACACTTTGGTCTAAATTACTTATAATTTGTTAATGTGAGAGTTCCACGGTCCTTCAGTGAATTGAAATGTTTTCATCAAGAACTTGCATATGATCACTCTTTTCCCTGCTTGTCACTTGATATGCACTTGTAAGTTGTCCAAATATCGTCCATTCGATGAAGATCTTGTCTAAAGGTGATCTAGGATACTATACTACAAGGGTTCAGAAAAGTAGCAGTGGATATATTTGAGGTTCATTAGTTGTCCACATTATGAGAAACAGGTTCCCAATAGAACTGTGTGATCACTTTCTTTGCACTGCAGAAGTTCTGACTATCCCTCTTTGGAATTCATATGCAAAGACATTTGACTGCTACTTCATCAATTGTTTTGGTCTGTAGAATCTTGAATTATCCCCGCTTCCATTTTTTCCTCAACCTGTTTTCTTCTTTCATAAAATCAGTTATTTTATGTTTCTGTAAGTTTCTTGATAAGGTCTTATTTCTTGGATAGTTTTTAATTTTATGGACGGGATAGTTGCATTAGTTGTGTCTACATGAAAAATGAGCTAGTATCGTTGCTTTGTTGCGTTCTCCGGGCTAAGTGGTTTAACCGTGAAGCTTTCACCGTCTTTCCAGACAAAAGCATAAACACTAACTATTTTTTCCATGAGTGATTCAGTGGTTTGTAGTTGTTAGTTTCCTCTGATGTCTTTGTTATTGACTACATAGATTTTCCTGTTATCCGTTTCTTTGCTTGAATATGTAATTTCCTGTTATTTTTCTTATTGGTTGAAAGAGTGGGTCCACGTCTGTGCATTTGTTGATTGCTGATGGATCAGAATGGCAAGCTTCTAAGAATTCTCTGGTATTCTTTGTTTTTCCTCTGTCCAAGATCTCTATGTTTTCAAAACTGAATTCATGTTCATAATTGTTCACTTGCATTGGTATGAGTGATGAAATGTCGTGATATTTGATAGGTATCTGATGTTCATGTAATGAAGGTGAAGAGGCAGATCATTTCCTCAGAAGTAGTGCCAATCGCAATATCATCAAATGGCCGATACAATTTTTGGAAACGATCTAAGGCATTCATATAGAAAACGAATTAATGGCGTCCTGCAACATCACAGCATTATACATATTAATTCAACCGCAAGTGGCTTAGTATACTATATCTCTCCTCTTCACTGACGTCACAAGGCTTTAGAAATGCAAAAAGCTTCAGCGTTGATGTCAGATGGAACTCATTCATCTTTGTCTGATAACATAATCCTAGTTTAATGGTAAGACATACAAACAGATGAAAGGAACTCCAATGGGATCACTGACATCTAGACTGAATGTAGAAGTGATGCAAAGACTGTAACCCATTATTTTACTTGGAATTAAACCGTAAATTCAGATCCGCTATGTGGACGATACTTTTGTTGTCATTAAAAACGATGAATTAGAAAACGATTTCAGTTGGATCGACAACATTTCCGATGGTATTAAATTCAAAATGAAGAAGGAGTCGAATAATAAACCACGTGGATGTTTTAGTGAGTAGAACTGGTGCCGGGAAAATGGGAACTCAAGTGTACAGGAAGTCAACATACTATGATTGGATCCTCGAACACAGTGGCCAAAGCACAATAACAGAAATTTAGTTGCATATAGAGTTTAAAATAATACACTCCACCCTGCTCTCCGGTCTCCCGGTTCCGGTGATATGAGTTCTCTCTATCCGGCTTTAGAACCACCAAACCTCAAAACAAAATCCTGCAAAAGGCTGTATATGACAGGCCTCGAGCAAATATCTCATGGACTCTGTGTTCACACAAATCATTTTCTCTTTCAGATAACTTAATAAATAATAGCTTTCCATGGTGTGGGCAGCCGGGAAGTGTAAACACTCTCATGCTTCTAGTAGTACAAAATACTCAATCAAACATAACCTATCCTCCTTGACTGTGTCTTCTCCTTTGCCTTCGTCTCCTGACACTAATAATAAGCCTCTTACGCCTTACCCAACTTCACATTCCATGACCATTGGCAATGATCAAAGCCATCAAAACCTCATTCCTAGTTTCCTAAGACCCCACCATCGATTTCATATAGGAGCTTTCAATATCCGAACTTCAAGCCAAATCGGACAGAAAGCATTGCTTGCCAGAACTCTAGAACCTCTAGCCATAGATGTATGATATGTCTCTGACACATGTGTACAGGACCTAATTGTGGTTATTAAATTGATCTCATCTGGTGATGATGGTCAATCTTCAAACATCTCCTTAAAAGTATCCAGAGACGCAGTGGCTAGTTCTCAAGGACTCGCTGACATAGGTATAGCATTGAGCTGTAGAGCAAAAAGTGAGATTCTTCGCTGGGAACCGGTCAACAGCCTTTTATGTACTGTTCGACTGATAGGATCTGTAAGGACTAGGAAAGATCATGAAACTAGGTGATGCCTATTTGTAATTTGTAACCTACACGCCCACCGCCTACATTTCAGGTGGTGTAAAGGAAGAATTCTGTTCTGACAATCACTTGTTTCTTGTCATCACTAACTTTAGGGGTAAGGAGAAAAGCTTTCTCACATGGCGTCCGCCAACTTCAAACTAGAACATATTGTTATAAGACATGGTTGGAGAAGATCGATGGGGGATTGCCACTCTTCCTGGGGTACCAGTTTGAACTCGGATCGCGCGCTAGTACTAACTCGCATAAGTCTGCGTCTTACTGGTCGCAGGATACATGAGGCAGTAAAGCCCATCTATGCTAGATTGGAAGATGAGGGCTCCAAGTATGTATTTAGGGAGGAGTCATCTAAGCATTCATCTGAACATGACAGCAATGCTCATCCTGAGGAAACCTGGTGTGATATTAGGTCTGCCGTAGAAAAAGCAGTATAGACAATTAGCAACGTACACAAGATGGTTAGAAAATATTGTTTAGTTTCCGCGACGTCATTCGAACTGACTGGTACAAGAAGACTGATTCCATCTGGCCCTGACCACAATGAAGATCGAAAGCAACTTAAACGTAAATTGACCATGATTCTTCGCAATGATCATGAGCAGTGGTCGGTGGTGAAAGTGAAAGCGATGGAGAAAGGATTTGTGTTGAGTAGCACTGAGCAGTTATTTATGGTTATTAAGGTTACCAAGAAGAAAAAGATGGTGATTAGTGAAACTGTCACTGAAATGGATTAATGCTGATACCCTCCCGGGACAAGGGTGTAGAACCACGGACAGAACACTTTGAAGCACACTTCACCTGGCCCTCAGCAACTCTCCAGTAGCCCAACATCCAGGCTGAACCTGAATGGGATGTGGATGTTGGTCCTCCAAATCTTCTTGAAATTCAGAAAACTGTGTCAAACCTGAAACAGTACAAGGCAGCGGGACCTGACAGTTCACCTTCCGAAGTTTCCAAGGATGAAGGTAGGAAATTGTTGATTACAGTGATGATGGTACAAAGAAGTGTATGGTAATCAGAGGTAGTGCCATCAACTGCTGTACCTCACTGACGATTCCAGTCTATAGGAACGGAAAGAAATCCTGTTGTGGCAACCGCATGGGAATTGGTATGATTAGTATTGTATCCAAGATCTTTGGGAACATACTTATCCTACACCTAACTGGAGATCGAGAACAGCAAACTCGAGAAAACTAGGCAGGTTTCAGACCTGGAAGATGATACACCGGTCATGTTCTTACATTCGTACAGGTTCTGGAACACAGGCATGCCTACAGGCGACCAACAGTTGCCATATTTTTTGACCTGAAGGGGGTAGTAGTTGACTCTGTCTACCATGAGGCGTTGTGGCAATGTCTGACTGTGAAAGGAGTACTAAGCAAGTATATAACGTTAATCAAAGCCGTCTACTAGAAATCAGTCAGCCATATCAGGGCTGGGGGAGAGTTATCGTGTGAACTGACGACAACTAATGGTATCTGTCAGAGATGTGCAGTGCCAACGTTCCTACTTAACTTCGTTATATATTACTAATGGACATAAACTTAGTACGCTAGACTCGACAGGGATTGATCACACACTAAAAGTCATCTGGTTGATTTAGAGTATGCGGACAATTTTGTCATGCTAAATGAGGACGCCGACGCAGTGCAGGGTCTGTGAACGCATGGAGTAGAAGTCTGAGTGTGTTTGGGATTCGTTTAGCTGGCACCTGTAAAATGTAAGATGATGATGCAAGACTGGTCTGCCGCAAGTACTCCCAGTTTCTGACAGGGAATGAAGTGGTGTGGGATGCTGTTAACATGGATATAATCATAACAAAATCCACCCTCATAATCAAGATAGTGTTCGGAGTCACCCACCTCACATATTCAGAAAGGTCTTCAAGGGAGGCTTCTGAAAGATTTCAAAGTGACCACAACTGAAGAAATGCTATGTCAGAGTAGATACAACTGACTCATTTTCAAATTAACCAGCAGATAACGTTCAGGATAACTTCAATAACCCTATGGTAATTGCGTTAAACTCTTTGATAATCACAGTACGAAGTCATTTGTCTACCAGTATGAACTTACAGCATATGGGTTTTGTATGTGTCCATAGTTAAGGATATCGCAAATGACTGCTTCAAAAACTGGACTTTAACGTAGATTTTGTCACTCAAATACATCACTACACTTGCCACGCTTGTAATCTATAATGTTGTCACTGCAGACACTATTATATCTTAATAGTGTATTTAAACTACGTCAGGAATTAGCCTATTTTTCAAAGGGATTACTATGACTGGATGAACTTTCTTCATCGTCACTCTACACTTCTTCCACGTTTCTGACTGCATAAAAAACTCGGTTTAAGTGCTTTAGTCAAGTACTACAACTAGTTCTAATTTGTGTGACTCCTTGCAAAGGGTCAAACTCATATGTCTGCTCAGTAGTGCATACAGTCAGTCCACAAATAACATGCTGTTCATCTTTAAAGAAGTGTTTGTTCTCGATTCAATGCGCTTGCGATGTAACTAGCTGGCCAAGTTGGATTATGATATTTTAGGCTAATGATGCGATTTTACTCCCTATTTAACCCAGTAAACTGGCAATATTGTAGGTTTTGCAACTGTTCTTCAGTGTAAAAGCTAACCATCCTGCTAGTTGTAACTTTGTCGCATAGGCTATATAGGCTATACATTTCAGACTGGATGAAATTCCTTCACTGTTATCTATCCCACTTTATTATAGACCCGAGTTATGATTTATGCTACCACATACCATACGACTTTTAGTTGCTAACCTGACTCGCTTGACATTCACCTTACCTCTCTTGTATTGATGGAAAAGAAATGAAAAGCCAGTTATTCAAAGAAGATAATACCTTTATTCTTGTTTTCAAGATGTTTTCAATAACAATTTTCAAACCAACTATATTAATAGCCTTTGAATCGGAATTTCACTTCTGAATATCATACTAGAAGAACATAATGTACTAATCTACATTAGCTCGTTCTTACGAGGTACTAACTGGGAACAGTGTGGCGCTAGGTACTTGGTTAAATCATTTGATACAATAGACAGATCCTAGTTGACCCATGAGCACAGTAACATTAATGTCAACTTGACTTCGTAGATATAAGTCAACCATACATGTAAATAAGTGACTAAAGTTAATATTTAGTATTTTTTTAATTCCAGAGTTTATATAATACCTTCGAGTGTATACACTCAGTATACAGAGTAACAGCAGAAATTATCAAAATTGATTGTAGCTCATTACATTCTCTTAGGCTTCATAAAAGCTACTAACAGTAAGTTAATGGAACAAATGGCGATTCACATATTTCACAGTTGGATTAAAACAGTCTTATGTTGGAAGTTACGATGATAATTATATCAAATAACCAGGTTACTATCTAAGACGGAAGAGATCAACACAGGTGAAACCAATGAAAGATAGTGAAGGAAAGCTAGTTACCAAAGAAGAGAAACAAAGGAAACGATGGGCTGACCACTTCAAACAGCTCTTCAATCGACCGCCACCTGCACTTCGTCTAGAAATACCACCTACAGCCCAGCCACAGAACCACAAGTGAACACAAATCCTCCAACATAGGTCGAAGTCCTGAACGCCATAAGGCTACTGAAATCTGGGAAAGCAGCAGGACCAGATAGAATCCTGCCAGAAGCACTGAGAGCAGACGCAGAGACAACAGCGGACATGCTCACATCACACCACTATTGCAGGAGGTTTGGAAGGAAGGAAGGAAAAGTACCTGCCAATTGATGGGAAGGAGGGCTACCTTGTCAAACTCCCCAACAAGGGCGACCTAAGTCTTTGCAAGAACTGGCATGGAATCATGATCCTGTGCCTGTCCACCCCAAGCCAGCAAAATATTAAGCCACATCATCCTGGAGAGACTAAACAATGCGCTGGATCCAAAATTACGACCGGAACAGGCTGCTGCCTTCAGGAAGAACAAATAATGTGCGGATCAAGTTGCAACGGTACGCATTATAATAGAACAGAGCATAGAATGGCAGTCAACCCTCTAACTCAACTTCATCGACTTTTAAAAGGCCTTCGATAGCGTCGACCGAGAAGTAATTTGGCAACTGCCTCAACGACTTTAGTGCCACAAGTCTTTATCAACCTTAATCAACAGCTGTATGAAAAGGCCACATGCCAAGTGATTCACAATAGAAAGCTCAGTGACGCCTTTGAAGGGAAGACTGGAGTAAGACAAGCTTGCCGCCTACTATCACCCATGATCTACCTGATTTTGGTCGGCTGGATCGTGCAACAGACAACCGTGAGGAGCGAGAAGATGGGCATACGCTGGCTGGACCAATGAAAAGAGCCTAGAAGATTTGGATTTCGCCGATGATGATTTATGTCTAATGTCTCATAGCACAAACTCAAAGATCTACAGGTGAAAGCTGACAAGTTGACAGAAGAGGCGAGACAGCGAAGATGGTACTTCAAGTGAATGTGGACAAAACGGAGGTGATGAGGATACCCGACCAACACCACTAACAATAACAACAAGCACCAATCACCATCAACGGGAGAAACCTAAAGGAAGCAGTGTCTTTCACCTACCTAGGCAGTATCGTTTCAACTACAAGTGATACAGATGAGGATGTCAAAACCAGGATCGGAAAAGCAAGACAGGCTTTCACTGATCTGAAATCAGTGTGGAGATCTGCTGCACTCAGCATAAAGAACAAGGTCAGGATTTTCAACACCAACGTCAAGTCAGTGCTCTTGTATGACTCAGAAACTTGACGTGTCGCGAAAAGCATTTCCAGTAAACTACAGACATTTCATCAACAGCTGCCTATGCTGGCTCGATACTGAAGATCAGATGGCCAGAAAGAATAAGCACCGAGGAACTCTGGACGGGCAATGAACCAACCAAGAACCTATCACCCAACAAATATGCAGATGGAAATAGAGATGGATTGGGCACACACTGAGAAGGCCGACTAGAGACATCACGCGTGAGGACAGGTCGTCGAGTGGAATCCAGAGGGGGAAGGACGAGTTGAGTGTGCGAGTGTGTCTTGAAGGAGATCATATGAGGAAGAAATGAAAGGTTGTGGGCAGTCGTGGCGCCAAGTTTTGAAGACTGCAGAGAAAAGAGTGCAATGGAGGCGTGCTGCTGAAGCCCTATGTTCCACTAGGAATCCAAGGGATAAATAATAGTAATAATGATAATAATACAGTGATAATCCTAGAGTAAGAACAACATAAGTTATGCAATTCAGGATAAAAAAATGATTGTAAAAAAAATAGCGGTAGGATAAATTTGAGTGGAACTCGACGAGTTGTAGAAAATGTCAGTGTCTCGCCTAGGTATTTTTAGACAAACTACTTAATCATTCGTGTAAAATGATCAAACTTGAAATTGAGATAGCTTTTGTGTAAGGAAGAGAAGTTGAATTAAGTCGTTCATTCCTGATTTGAAAAGTATTTGTCAAATCAACATCTTGTCCTATGCCAAGTCAGTGATTACAGGATCCATTTCATTAAGGTTTGAGTTCCTAGGAATGCGTTCAAGAAAACTGATGATTTTTATGTAAGGTTAGGATTTGAACAATTTAGTAGAGTTTAGTTTCATTTTTCATAATCAAATTGGTGTAGCTATGAGGAATAAGTTGTGCGAGAAATATCTTGTTGTGAATAATACTGTTTCACTTTGAGGTAGTTCTCATAAACGTTCTACCAGCGGTAACTACACCTCTCTCCATTCTCCAATGTTTGTTTATACATTGACAAGTACAAGTGGCTTGTGAAATAAAGCTTGAGAGGATATGAAATCAGTATTTGTCTACTATCTATTTTATTTAACAAATTGCATCATATAGTGAAACTAGTTTCACCGTAAATAAACTACTACGGAATACGGCCTTTATTTGTCGAGGAAATTTAGTCATCCTCAGACGCCCACTCATATATCTACAAACTTAGAGTTGTATCAAATGGAAGTTAGCTAGTAACTGTTTTGTAATAAATTTCACTCCTAAACAGCGAGTTCACGAAATCCTAAATTGACTGAAGAATGAAGCATCGGCAGGTAATATTAAGGAGTTCAAATCAAAATTTTTATACTAATGTGTTACGTCAGGAAATGGTCAGAAAAGTATAACCATACTTATTTTTTTTTCATTTCACGAACGCTACACAATCAAAAGTATAGTATAGTATAGCTAGATATGCATGGTAAGTGTTCTATTTAACTCATAATTTTCAAAAAATATATGAAATGAATCACACTTTCCAATTACTCTAAATTTCCTTTTTCTTAATAGGCTATACGACCTGCCAAAGGTGGAATGTATTATGTCGATCACCTTCCCCTTCTTGCCGATTTAAGACAGTATTCTGATGAAGTATGTGTAACTGAGGATTCGAGCAGAGAAGTATCGATTCCAACAAGGCATGACTTCGAGAGAAGCGCTGTAGTCCCAAACTGGACCAATCTTCAAGATCTTGAAACTCGACGTCGTCAGACAACACGGAGTATCGAAGACGAATGTAACTATCGAAGTCGTGTTTCCGGCAATGAAGAATCAGTGTATGGTTCTGCAAGCAGTAGGCAATGCATAGGTAATTCATCCCGAGGTAACTCTAATGTCCTATCAGCCGATGAACCTGCAGCATCCAGCTGTCTAAATGTTTGCACTTTGGCTAGTAGACTTCATTTACAGCCCTCTTCAATCGAAAGTTCACAAAGTACAAATGCTACTTCACGCCGATTGCATTCTCGCTCAAATAGACCTCAGTACAGTTGTTCTACAGAGAGAGAGTGTGAAGAACCAGATTCTCCTCGTGCAGCTAATATGTCTGCTAGTACCAGCGGCTTAAGAAGTTTGGGTCATACTGCACGTACCCTACTGACAGACTTTTTAAGGACCAATTCTTCTAATCCATCTGGGTCAGCTAATCGTAGTAGTTTAAATTCAGGGACACAAAGCCATCAATCAAATCAGTCTCGTTCACATTACAATGACTCTACCTCAACAGCTGCCCGCAGCAACCGACCAACACGTATGCAAGGCACCACAAATGATCACATAAGTAGTCAAAATGCTCGAGAAGTCAGTATTGCATCTGGTTCTCACAACCAACATAGGAATGTTCAGTCACGTGTAAGTTTTACTGACATTTGCTGACTGTTGTTCATCTTCAGTAGGATAATTTCGCACACTGTCGTTTTATAACTTTTAGAAACTGATTTTCAAAAGATACAAATGGTTTGAAACTAGTTTTACAGCATAAAGTAGGCAGTATTCGTAACAGTATTTGACAAATGGGTAGAGGACCTTTTTTAGGTGGTCTTTACTTACTCAATAAAGAATGACACATGAAGTGAATAACTATTTACTTAGTACATTCGATTTCCGTAATAAACTTGGACAAAACTAATTTCTTTGTTCTGACATTTTTCACAATAGTATTATGGTGAATTTGATGAATACCAATAGGAAAAGTACAATATTTAGTAACAGTGAACATCAGTTAAACAAAGGATAACAATGAAAGCAGAATAGCTTAATGAATAACACTAGCTTTTGAAGTGCTGAGTGTTAGATTGCTGTCTACTACTCTGCTACTTACCATCACTGAAAATAAGCAATGCTTAGATGGTATATCCACTATGGAACTGGGTGAGAGACACGCAACTACTCGTCCCTCATCAAACATCTGACTAAAAGTAAACCTAGGAAGGATGTTATCGTGGACTTAATCTAATTTGGTAGCCAAATTTGACCAGAGGGACCACTTAAATTCATACTGTAGTTCTGTAAAAGACTCATCGAATATCATTCCACGCTAAGATTTCGAAGCAAAAAAATATGTTCAAGTTATCGAAATATTATAAAATATTTCACACAATCTGTCTCCTAATTTTAATGCAGTCGTTAATAAGACTTATGGCACTAACGAAACAAAAGTGTTCTTACGCACATGACCATGATAGAATTCAATCAGCATTCAAGTCTAAGCCTAGATTTCGACCTGGTTGCAGTTATCAGTAAGCGAATCTTGTATTCATTGGGGAACTGATATTCATTTATTGGTTCAAATCTGTGTCATTCAGTGCTGAATTTACGAAAAACGTTTTCAGGCTATATAGACGCCCCTTAAAACTAGACTTTGTTGTCTCATTAATCACCAAATAATAACTGGTGTCAACTTCCTAATAGTCACTACTCATCAAAATTCAATGATCGGGTTTACAATAGATCTTTGCCTTAGAAACCAAAGACAAACTAATATAAGCAAGACATTTTCACCTATTTTAAAACCAAAGATGATGTAGTGAATGGGCTCAACCCAGCAGAAGTCCATGAATTATAGTAAATTTCAAATCCTGTGATTTCGATTTTTTCAGATATGATGATTAAGCCAAAGCAAAAGAATGGAAGAATAATAATGCGTAACTATTTTGACTACTATCTAATATTGAGTAGTTCAAGGTTATTAAATAATTTCGCTATCACTCGGTTCGGTGTACTACTTATTAACCATAAACTGTTCTCTGTGAGTTAGCAAACCACGATAATATCAGGGTAGTGTAACCAAATAATTCTATCAGAAGCTTCAAAACTTGATTATCTGTGATTTCTGCACCTAAATATATGTGCACCTTTCGTCTTACACAACAAAATGTAACTCAGTTGAAATAACTATACCTATCAATTCATAGAACTTTATTCTGATTACAGAAATGACCACATAGATCATGAGTTTTCTACATGCATGCTTAATTCGAAAAATATTTTCGCATACAGCTTCCGTAAAATGACCTATTGGGGAGGTCATGGGGAGTTTAAGAGACACTTTTTACTTTCCAAAGACAGTGAATGACCTAGTTTTGTTCTCTTTTTGTTATTCCCTTCCATTGAGATTTGATAATGATCCCGAAAACTATACTCTTAAAGACTAACTGAAAACGGTGAGGAAACTATAATCATATGAGCGATATGCATCCAGCGTACCTTCTGAAATTAAGTTACTTGGTCATGCAGTTAGACTATAAATACGTAAACTATGGAAAAGAGAAATAACGACTTTAGGGTCAATAACATGCACACAGACGAAAAACTAAACTATGATTCTTGTTCACCCTTCACAATCATTCACCTTAAAGACAAGCTGTATGAAGTTGTATTATTATTACTATTATTATTTGTCCCTTGAGTTCCTAATGGAAGATAGGGCTTCAGTAGCACATCTCAAATGCACTCTCTTCTCTTAAATGTTTTGAACTTGGCTCCACGACTGCCCACAAACTCTCATCTCTTCCTCCCACGACTTCCTCCATGTCACCCTCAGCTGGGTCGCCCAACCCGTCGCTTCCCATCTGGCTTCCACTCGAGGGCCTGGTCTGACACGTGGTGTCCCCAATCGGCCTTCTCAGTGTACACCCAATCCAATCCATCTCCACTTCCTTCCAATGCATATTTGTTGAGCGATAGGTTCTTGGTTGGTTCGTTGCCAACCAGCCAGCCAGCCAGCCAGCCAGCCAGTCAGAGTTCCTTGTTGTCGATTCTTGTTATTCTGGCCATCTGATTTTCAGTGACGAGCCAGTGTAGGCAGCTGTTGATGAATGTCTGTAGTTTGTTGGAAATGTCTTTCGTAAAGCACCACGTCTCTGAGCCATACAGGAGTACTGACTTGACTGAATTGGTGTTGAAAATCCGGATGTTGTTCCACATGCTGAGTGCAGTGGATCTCTACACTGGCTTCAGGTTAATGCAGGAAGGCCTGTGTTGCTGTCTTTCCGATTGTGGCTGGCTTCGACGTCCTCGTTTGTGCTGCCTGTGTTTGAAACGGTGCTGCGTAGATAGGTGGAAGAGGCTACTTCCTTCAGGTTTCTCCCTTAGATGGTGATTGGAGGTGGTTGTCATTGTTGTTGTTGTCGTTGGTTGGGTATCTTCATCACCTCTATCTTCTCTACGTTCACTTGAAGTCCCGTCTTCGCTGCCATGCCTCTTCTGTTAACTTGTTAGTTTACTCCTGTAGATCTTCAAGCTTGTGTGACATTAGACACAAGTCATCATTGGCGAAATCCAAATCTTCATCTGGGGTATTTTCCCCGGTTCAGTGTATCCCTCTCTCCTCATAGCTCCTCACTGTTTGTTGCATGATCCAGTCCACTACAATCAGCAATATCATGGGTGATAGTAGACAGCCTTGTTTCACTCCTGTCTTCACTTGAAAATGATCACTGACCATTCCATTGTGAACTACTTGGCATGTGGCGTCTTCATATATTGGTGTTGAATGAGGTTGATGAAGCTTTGTGGTATTCCGTAGTGTTGAAGCAGCTGTCTGCCAAATTACGTTTCGGTCACCACTGTTAAAAGCCTTTTCAAAGTGGATGAAGTTGAGTTAGAGGGTTGACTGCCATTCTATGCTCTGTTCTATTATAATGCGTACCGTTGCAACTTGATCCGCACATTATTTGTTCTTCCTGAAGGCAGCAGCCTGTTCCGGTCGTAATTTTGGATCCAGCGCATTGTTTAGTCTCTCCAGGATGATGTGGCTTAATATTTTGCTGGCTTGGGGTGGACAGGCACAGGATCATGATTCCATGCCAGTTCTTGCAAAGACTTAGGTCGCCCTTGTTGGGGAGTTTGACAAGGTAGCCCTCCTTCCCATCAATTGGCAGGTACTTTTCCTTCCTTCCTTCCAAACCTCCTGCAATAGTGGTGTGATGTGAGCATGTCCGCTGTTGTCTCTGTGTCTGCTCTCAGTGCTTCTGGCAGGATTCTATCTGGTCCTGCTGCTTTCCCAGATTTCAGTAGCCTTATGGCGTTCAGGACTTCGACCTATGTTGGAGGATTTGTGTTCACTTGTGGTTCTGTGGCTGGGCTGTAGGTGGTATTTCTAGACGAAGTGCAGGTGGCGGTCGATTGAAGAGCTGTTTGAAGTGGTCAGCCCATCGTTTCCTTTGTTTCTCTTCTTTGGTAACTAGCTTTCCTTCACTATCTTTCATTGGTTTCACCTGTGTTGATCTCTTCCGTCTTAGATAGTAACCTGGTTATTCAAAACAATGTTGTCAGGTGTCTGTCTCTCCTACCTGCAGCCTATTCTGCTTCACTTGACAGTGTGTCGTAGAAGTGTCTTTTGTCCTTGCGCCCACTCTTCGTCACTTCTTTGTCCAGTGTAGTATTTTATAGGTTGCACTCAGTTCCTCTTCTCGTTGTGTATCCTTTCACTGGTTCATCTTCCGCTTCACTATCTTCCTTTCTCTCTCCCTCCTATATCAGCTTTCATGTCTCCGCCAAGATCCATCCATTCCATTTCTTGTCTTCTTTCTTCTTCATTCCTAATACGGTTATGCAGGTTTCTTTCTACATAGATTTCAGAGAGTTACAGTGCTCGTGCACACAGGTTTCTTCATGGATGCTGCTCGACATTTCCCACTTTATCCTGTTGACTGACATGAAGATGTCCCATGTAGTTTCGTCCTTAAGTTTTTGGGTGTTTAACTTGAACCGTGGTCGATTACCACCTTCGTTGAATGCTTTCAACTTGATTTTGAAGGTTCCTTGCACTAAGTAGTGTGTGGTGTGAAGCTACATCTGCTCCTCTTCTTGATCTTATGTCGAGTAGGCTGCATCTCCACTTCCTTCACATTGAAATGAAGTCCACCTGATTTTTAGTGTGTCATGGTGTCTGGTGAAATCCATGTCACATTGCGGATATCCTTGTGCTTGAACACACTACCCAACTCCAATCACCAAATCGTTGAATGCACAGAATTCTGCAAACAATTCTCCATTCTCGTCCGTTTCACTGAGTGCCCATCGATCCATGGTTAGTTCTCTTCGTGTGTTGTCCGCTCCCAGTTTGGCTGGCATTCATGTCACCCCACCCATTAGAATTTTGATGTCACCAACTGGTGTGAGATCTTGTCCATTACTGAATGCAGTTGTCTGTAGAATTCCTCCTTCTTCTTTTGATCTGCATTCTTTGTAGGTGCTTAGTGTAGCATTGAATGATTGTGACTTTCATTCCTTTTGAGTTGGACCTTGCCGTTATGATCTGATCCTGGGGGAGATTGGTTCCCAGTGCATGATAGAGAGCCTTCGATGCTCTTGAACGGGAGACATCATGATAGCCACTTTATAACTGAGTGTGCTCGTGGTTGTCGTTTGGGTGAGAATATGGGAGTAGATTATTGATTCTCTAGTTGACAGTTTGGAGAGTCCACTTCCAATCCATCTGCTTTCGCGAATTCCTAACACTTCAATGCTATACCTTCTCATCTCTTTTGCAATCTGGGGAGCCTTGGTAGGTTGAAATATGGTGCAGACATTCCACGTCCCTATGTTTACTTTCGCTTTCATCGAGAGAGAGAGAGAGAGAGAGAAGACACATCGACCAATTGGCTTCCGGAAGTCATGCTTTCACCAACCGGTGTTATTTCGTCTCTCCGATTCCAGCGAGGAATAATACTGTTTTTATTTTTTAGATTTTGTTTGTGCTCTGAAGTTTCTTTAGCGGTTGGATTGGTTTTCCGGGTTGGAGTTGCTAGTTTTATGTCCAACCTTCCCTCTTTATCCGGGCTTAGGACCGGGTAGTAACTAGTGACGTAGTTAACCGGACGAGATTGGATGAGGTTGTACTGAGTTGTAATCACATAAATCTTCTTCGTTGCACTTATGGTTGTGATTTGTAGATTGTAATTTGCAGTCACTTCTTTCCCACCGAAAAATATTAGCACAGAGTTGTATAGCCGTGCCTTTCTGATATACCTAATATTCTGCACAGTAGATTTTTCTGTGTGTAGATACGAAAGATGAGCCGGGTAAGAGTTAGAGACTGTAACAGACGAAACGATACCGGGTCAAATAAGTTTCAACTATTTTTGTTATTTATGTAATCAGTTTTCAGTATTGTGCACTGGTTAACCATATTTTGTGAAGTCAAAAAATAAAATCACACGATTCTTTATTGGTGGATATCCATGGATCGCCTCCTAATCCATAGTCAAATTAGCAGTGCAATGGTCTTTTTGGCTTTTTATATATCCACCCAATTGTCTCCACAGATTTAAAGAACTAGGACTGATTTTCTACAAGTGACATTTAGATATCTATCCGAAGAATATGGTCTTCTCTCACAGTTTCTAGTAGAATACAGCTTTTAGAATTGTTTTTCAGTAGAAAGCCATAAGTTTTACACGTCGTTTCCAGTTAAAATGATAGGCATCAACATAGCTTACTAAATAAACTCATTTACCTAGTTCTATTATTAGATATGATCGAAGTGCTGATTAAAAGCAATAGAAAGATCGGAATACTTATTTTCTTCGGTCCTAGAACATAGTAACTGCACATATGTGCCCACTGTGATAACAATGTTTAATCCGATACTAACTAGGAAAGCACTAAATCAGAAGAATCAAAAGAATACCTGGTCAATATGCTGATACTTACAGGCTCAGTATTCTTGAATGAATGGACAGAGCAGAGCCATCTGGCTGAATGTATCAACATATGTATATTAGAATCTAAAACTCGTTCCTTATGTAACAAAAAATGAAACTAGGAAAACAGTTTTAAGAACTGTCCAACAAATAATCAGCAGACGGTCAGGGATAACGAAAAGGGCACTTGCCAGCCGGTTTTTCCAAGTGACCGTAAATGACACTTTCAGGCCTATACGCAGTTTTGAAATGCAGTATACCGGTAAAAACTAAACAGTCGAGTTTATTGCGAAGCTGTAATTTATTATTCCGTTGATTGGCTAAATGTCTATTGAGTACTTATACCTTAGATATTGAGAAGTTCATCTTTGAATATTCCTCCATAGCAGGTTGCTATCACCAATCGCGGTGGTGTTTTCACTTTGCATACCAGAGATGGATTGCAAAGTGGATCTTCATCTAACCAAGAGTTAATATGCGGATACACAACACTGTCAGGAGAATTTATTCGTGAAAACAACATTACCGGCTCACAAACAATTAGAATACAACGTCACACTGAAGCAGGACCACGATCAGTTCATGGTGTGTATAATCAGCTGCATACTACTTTTTCTGAAAATCCGTTAGACAATAGTCCTGATACACCTCCTCATGATGACTCAGAAGCGACAAGTGTGGAAAGACCAGGTGAGTTTTGATTAACATGTAAAATATTGAATTTCTAACCGCATACACTAATTATTTTTATCAAGTAAAACAGTACAGACCACTTACTTATCGAAAAAGGACTGTGTTAATTGCGATTACCGATTTTCAAAGTGTGCTATTGATAATATAATAATTATGTAGACTCCTGAATGCCGAACAATATATATATATATATATATATATATATATATATATATATATATATATATATATATATATATATATATATATATATATATATATAAAGAGTATGAGTTTGTTTACTGGGTTAGATAATGTCAATTATCAGTTTACAAGTTGCATTTGTAAACTTGAAGAATGTTCTATGAAATGACAGTAATAACAACTAATGTTACTAGTATTATATTATTTTCCAGTATGATGCGTACTACTTCCATAACAAAACACCAGGATGGCGTCAGATAGCAATGTCTGCAACTGAATTCTAGAGCAAGCATCTACAAGTCAGCCAACATAGGTTGTATTATAGAAATAATGAGCTTGAAAACATCTTCAGTCGTGATTGCTATCTAGAGCGAATTTTTCTAAAGATTCTTTCCCAGTTTGTTACAGACTACATTTATCCCTTTTATATACCTGACCATAGTCTCTAGCCTTACATTTTCTCTGACTCCCTCATACTTCTTTGTGGCAGAGGTTTCCGTCTGGGCATTTTTAAACCTGGCAACTTGCTGAAATACCCTCCTATTATATAAAAATTTGATCGTGCTGGAGTTTATATTTTTAGTGTTGAAGTCACATCCATTTTTTCAAAAGATAATTTTCTGATAGTTAAATTAGACTGTCCATAGTTCTGTGACTAGTACTTCCATTTACCTATATTGCTCAGAAGTTCTAAAACAAAAGTGAAAAGCTCTTCTGTAATTCTGTCGTGTCATGGTTTTTTCTGGTTTTAAGTTTCCAAGTTGATTTTCTAATCTAAAATCTAAAATTTTCGTTGATATTTACTGAATTACTTTTACTCAGCCTGTTCTCATACACAAACTCAAAACAACAACTCCGAAGACCTTATTCAAGCAGCCACCGATGGGAATGTAAAACGTTTGAGATGTCTTCTACAACATCGTAATGCAGATGTAAGTTTAAATTGGTAAAATTTGATGAGAAACGGTTCAATTTATCCAAAGGTTATTTCCTGATGGGAAAACCACTATCATTCGTATACCTAGAGTTTTGATAGAAAGCATCCTAATAACATGTTGAGATAAATGATTTAAGATGAAAAGATTTTAGAGGTTTTTATAATGATCTTCCTTAGTTATTCACTTCGGAATTAAATATTTTGGTTCACATACAAATCAGAACCACATCTATATAATTTACACTTATCCACGTGTAAACTGTTGTTTCACCTAAACTTCTTTACATCATAGAACACTTGTGGACGTGTTGTAAAGCAAACAAATTTGTCACGGTATTTACTCGATCAAGGTTTATTGTCCACATTTACCATTTGTAAAGTGGTGACTATCAAATAGTCATTTTTGCTAGATTACTGATAAAATCTCTTTCAAAAGAGATAAATGTTGGCAGATGGTTCAGCTCTTGATATGAATCTTATTAACAACATCCTGTCACAAATCTGCCATTCTATCAGTCTTAGGTATCGTCAATGGGTGTGAAGAACCAGTTCGCAAATCATATTTATATACTATGAGTTCAGTTCGCAAATCTTCCATTTTTTCGTTATTTATGCACCAAAATTAAACAGTTTATTACAATAAATTACTTACAACGTAGACTATTACTGAATTTATGAAGTTTAAAATAGATGTTACACTCTTAACAATGCATGAAAATCTCATCCTCGTGATGTTGAACAAACGTTAGTTATTTTTGTTTGATAATAGTGATCTAAACATTGGAGCAGCAAATGAGTATGATTTGCTCTGTTGACCTAGCTAGGAGTCCAAAACCATTTCATTTTTGTCAAACATGTTAAGCTTTGACAACGGAGTGATCAGCCTAAAAAATTCGTTTAAAGAACAGAAATTTTAAGGAGATAGGCAAGAAGTTAGCTTATCAATGAAACTATTTATTTTTATTATTGTATTGTTTGTCCCTTGGGTTCCTAGTGGAACACAGTAGCACGTCTCCATTCCACTCTGTTCGCAATTTTTTGAACCTGCCTCCAAGACTGCTCAGAAGCTCTCATTTCTACCTCACACAATCTCCTCCGTGTCAAGTAGGCTGCGTCTCCACTTCCTTCACATTGAAATGAAGTCCACCTGATTTTTAGTGTGTCATGATGTCTGGTGAAATCCATGTCACATTGCGGATATCCTTGTGCTTGAACACACTACCCAACTCCAATCACCAAATCGTTGAATGCACAGAATTCTGCAAACAATTCTCCATTCTCGTCCGTTTCACTGAGTGCCCATCGATCCATGGTTAGTTCTCTTCGTGTGTTGTCCGCTCCCAGTTTGGCTGGCATTCATGTCACCCCACCCATTAGAATTTTGATGTCACCAACTGGTGTGAGATCTTGTCCATTACTGAATGCAGTTGTCTGTAGAATTCCTCCTTCTTCTCTTGATCTGCATTCTTTGTAGGTGCTAAGTGTAGCATTGAATGATTGTGACTTTCATCCCTTTTGAGTTGGACCTTGCTGTTATGATCTGATCCTGGGGGAGATTGGTTCCCAGTGCATGATAGAGAGCCTTCGATGCTCTTGAACGGGAGACATCATGATAGCCACTTTATAACTGAGTGTGCTCGTGGTTGTCGTTTGGGTGAGAATATGGGAGTAGATTATTGATTCTCTAGTTGACAGTTTGGAGAGTCCACTTCCAATCCATCTGCTTTCGCGAATTCCTAACACTTCAATGCTATACCTTCTCATCTCTTTTGCAATCTGGGGAGCCTTGGTAGGTTGAAATATGGTGCAGACATTCCACGTCCCTATGTTTACTTTCGCTTTCATCGAGAGAGAGAGAGAGAGAGAGAAGACACATCGACCAATTGGCTTCCGGAAGTCATGCTTTCACCAACCGGTGTTATTTCGTCTCTCCGATTCCAGCGAGGAATAAAATTGTTTTTATTTTCTAGATTTTGTTTTTGCTTTGAAGTTTCTTTAGCGGTTGGATTGGTTTTCCGGGTTGGAGTTGCTAGTTTTATGCCCAACCTTCCCTCTTTATCCGGGCTTAGGACCGGGTAGTAACTAGTGAAGTAGTTAACCAGGCTAGGTTAATGAGAACATTTAGTGAATAATCAACCGAAATAGCTGAAAATTTGAAGTACTAATCCCGTACGTTATAATATTAGCAACGGCAGTGCAGCAGTATACTGGCTTGAACTACCTGATAAATAGTTTTTTATTTAAGTATAACCTTGTGGTGGCTTGGTGTGAAGGAACTGAATTGAAGCTGGTAAGGATCGGAATCATTTACTTGCACTTAAAAGAACAGCATTTGATGAACCTTTTCCACCCCACTTTAGAAAAACAGACTTATGGTTTTCTGCAAAACATTTCCTATAGCTTCAGATATCGAATTACAATGTTGTCCGGTGTTAAATTTGCAACTATACTTAAAGTTCTTACCAACCAGTTGTGTGCCTTTAAGCGTTACCATAGGATTTTTAACAGTGAAATATTTACACAAATTTCTCAACCCATTGAATCAAATTCGTTTGGTCTATTTTTAGCAGGTAGTGTTGACGTACTCTTTTGATTTTGTTTCTCAGGAAGCCTCAGTTTTTTAGACGACAGCCTGAGATCTTGTGTCCATTTTGAGCTGGAGTAATGTAGGTATAGTTGGTCTGAATGATAAGTTACTCCGTTATGCGGTAAATCGTCATAGTCAACGTCACAAAATATAATACCTAGATGACTTGCTTCTAACCATCGGACGCGCAGTGAATGACCATCAAGGGTTGAATCTGAAGGTATTTGTACAAGCAGAAGATCTTAAAAGAATAATTTTTTACGGCCCAGTAAAAGATTGCCAGTCATTCACAAGACACAATTTTATTATCCATCTCTATTTCATGGGGGACATGTTAGAGAATGAAATGGGTGTATCAAAGTCTTCGTAAGTAACCGTAAACCATTAAAGCCTTTTTCAGCCAACTGTTTTGCTTCGAAGTTTTGGGAAAAAAGACATGAATCAACATGTAAGTATCGGGTTAGTTGAAGAGACGAAAAATCAATAAGGTTTCAATCTAGAAAGACCTAGAAATAGTCAAGGCTATTGCAGTATATATAAATCTTGCATTTTGTACATGTTGTTGATGTTGTAAATACACCTATTATGTTACAGCCTTTCACATTTAGGAGGAAGTGGGCGATTATTAAGGGTGGAATTCGAAGGTTATTATACAATCGTCTACATGTACAGAATTCAGGCTATATCAAGTAACTGTAAAGATGTAAAAAACCTTTTGTAAATTACCTGATTGTTCAAGTTGTCCCATTTCTCATTAGCATGATGAAGTGAATCATCTACCATCAGAATAAAAGCATTACAAATGTCGTTTTTCAACAAAATCCTTAGTGAATTCAAACAAAGTGAAGCAAAGCCAATGGAAATTTTTCAATACTATGTCGTCTGCTTTCAAAATAACAAGTGCTTGAACAGACAGGAATGATGAAAAACACTTCCATTTTTTGCATTCGTTTCTTCCTACCTCAGTAACAGAGACAGAGTTTATCCACTACTTATCTTAAATGTCGTGTATTTAAAAGAAAAGACGTGTCAACCATTTAGAAGAGGCTGGGATCCTGTGAACTTATTTTTTTGACCACTTTACTAACTAGTAATCTCAACATAATACACAACACAAGTAGTAATAAGAATAATAACACAAAAAATAGTAAGCAGCCGTTAAAGCAGAAGAGTTCCCTTCAACTTCTAACTGTCTAAATTGATTTTAATGTTAAAAGGCATAAAATTTACTACAGCCTTTAGAGGAAGTTGACAGGAGAATACCAAGTGGTGTTAAAATCTATGTAATCTTAAGCAGTTCAGTTGAGTTATTTGTTGTTGGTGAAGTTCCCCTTTAACGAAGGTCGATTTTATGAGTAATTAGGAATAAAGCTAGAAATCAGATTACATAAAAGCCATCCCAAACGGGAAAAAAGTCGGGCCTCATACGTTTAATAAGAGACATGAACGTTTAAAGAAATCTTTATGCCTTTAAGAATATAGATCGCGGAAAATAGAAGGGAGAATCAGTTTAATAGTCACCAACGAGCACAAATTACAAATGAAGAAATAATGTTATTGTGGAGCCTATTTTCTGGTAACCTTGAGTGACAGTGAAATATTTCCAACCTTCTCATCTGAAACGATAGATATTTTCCACCTAGGCGTCAACAACTTAATTCATCAGGTGAATGAACCCCCTTTTTTGTTTTATTTAGATTCGTCTTTTCACGAACATATGAGAACTAGTGGACAAAGATAAAGATAATATTAAACACGACCTCCTGTCATCCCATGAGCTTAAATGTATTAAGTCCTTCTTGGTAAAATTTTCATATTTGTAGTCACAACATTAAGTTACTTTACCAAATTTTGCCCTCAGTTACAGTCTTCTCATTTCTCTTCTCCAGTATTTAATAAGAAACTTGTGTACGCAAACACTACCGTGCAAAAGTTTTCTGAATTTCGAATATTTCTTTAGTTTTGTTAACTGATAGGATAGTTTTCCAATGATGGAGTATTCTTGCAATAGTCCTTCATAACATAGGACATTATTGACACCCATTGTACATTCACATGTTCAAGTTTCCTAGTTTTGCTTCATTCTTTCTTTATGGTTGTCGTTTTTCAGTAAATTAGTAGTGTGACTCAACCTGATTCAGGCATCTGTGGACTAGATGTTATATTAGACAGTACAGAACACTATTCAGCCCTATAAGCTGAAATCAAGGAGCGTTTAAATTTAGAACTTATTACCCGAAAGTCAGTTACTTATACTAATGAGCCAAATCTCCCACCAAATTCTTAATAATACTTCGCACGTTAGGATTGCCTTCATATGTAAACATCTGATTAGGATTTCCACTGCTCCTACTTTGTTCTCATAAAGTCTGTAGAATTGAAGGATTGAACATAACGTAAATGTGAATGACACATTTCACAAGCACATCACTGTCTTATTTTTGTAACAATAGCCTACAATTCAATACCTAGAAACTGACTGAAGCATACTGACATCTCTTTTTCTAGTGATCATCGGGGCTTATTCATTTATCATTCCGGTACATGTATTGAACTATTACGCAACCGAGTAACAGTTATATTCATGGTAGGAAGTCGGCTTTTTCTTCATTCGGTGTTGAGCTGCCGATTTGTATATAAACTTTGTTATTTGTATTTCACACACAGTGATACTTGACTAGTTATTCAGTTAAAGATATTAAATGCCTCATTCACAATGAACAAGTGATTATTTGCATTACATTCACATCGACAAAGTTTCAGGCACATAGAATGGAATTCGGTGTACAACTCCGTTACACGTTCTACATCTCATTTTATAAATTCATTCCTTAATATATTACAGATGATAATGGTTAACAAATTACATAATATCTCATACACTCTTCCAAAGATATATTTAGTAATTATACTTCTTGGAGGTCTTTCCGCGCATCCTAGACCCTAATGCCTAATAAAAAGAGTCACTGAACAGATGTTACAGACGTCTGTGTATTCTACATTTGAAAAAGAATTGCTGAACATCTGGAGTTAATCGTTCAAAGAGTGCTAAAATTGATTACCTCGGGTTCCTCATTCAAAACGAAAATACTTCAGTCCTTTTGGTATTTCGGCCAAATTTCGAAAAACATATATTTGTCAAGAAGTTTCAGTTTATGCACCAATGAGTATTTAGTAGTACTCATCTGGATATTTCGTCTCTCCTTGTTTGAACTGTTATGACCATTATCATAGAGTATCTATGAGTGGTGTTCAGGTTTTCTGTTTATACCTTTAAGGGTTAACGTTGATACATTCAATATCATGAAGTCGAATATGTAGCCTTCAAAAAATACCATTTATAAACTTCAAAAACACATCTTACCTTTATGGAAAGAAAGAGTAAGTAGAAAATACTGTTGCACCATGATAAATCAAAGATGTTTAGAGGCTTTGTAAACTATCAGTTGCTTAATTGTATGAAATGTGAGATGCGCTGTGAACCATAAAATTTAACTTAAGAAAAACTGATTTTGAAGGATGTGGAGAAGAGGTAAGTACTTCATGCGATCGGGATAGGTGAGAGATAAGAAAGCGTCTTAGGCTTTATATGAAAAACTTTAATTGTTTTTCATAAATGATGAAGTTGGATGTTCATCAGCGACCCCTATGAAGGAACATTACTCAACGACTTAATATACATCTTATTTATGACAGAGGCGGCATTGTTAACTCTTTCACATTAAATTGACGTTTTAAAATACCGTGCTTGGTTTGACAGGTTAAAAATCATAGGCTTAGGTTTCTTACTTGTGACAGTCATCAGCAAATTATATATTTGACTACATCAAATTCATTATTATTATTATATTATTTATCCCTTGAGTTCCTAATGGAACATAAGGCTTCAGTAGCACGTCTCAATTGCACTCTCTTCTCTCAAATGTTTTGAACATGGCTCCACAACTGCCCACAAACTCTCGTCTCTTCCTCGCACGACCTCCTCCATGTCACCCTCAGCTGGGTTGCCCAACTCGTCGCTTCCCATCTGGCTTCCACTCGAGGGCCTGGCCTGACACGTGGTGTCCCCAATCGGCCTTCTCAGTGTACACCCAATCCAATCCATCTCCACTTCCTTCCAATGCATATTTGTTGAGCGATAGGTTCTTGGTTGGTTCGTTGCCAACCAGCCAGCCAGCCAGCCAGCCAGCCAGCCAGCCAGCCAGCCAGCCAGCCAGCCAGCCAGCCAGTCAGCCAGTCAGAGTTCCTTGTTGTTGATTCTTGTTATTCTGGCCATCTGATTTTCAGTGACGAGCCAGTGTAGGCAGCTGTTGATGAATGTCTGTAGTTTGTTGGAAATGTCTTTCGTAACGCACCACGTCTCTGAGCCATACAGGAGTACTGACTTGACTGAATTGGTGTTGAAAATCCGGATGTTGTTCCACATGCTGAGTGCAGTGGATCTCTACACTGGCTTCAGGTTAATGCAGGAAGGCCTGTGTTGCTGTCTTTCCGATCGTGGCTGGCTTCGACGTCCTCGTTTGTGCTGCCTGTGTTTGAAACGGTGCTGCGTAGATAGGTGGAAGAGGCTACTTCCTTTCTTTCTTGTTAACTCAGTGATAGATATTGCCACTTAATCATTTGGTTCTTAGCTGGAACTCTATAGGAATAAATCAAGCACACTTATCAGGGCTTGAATTTGACAGTTTATGGGGAATAATTTATTCCAGGACAGTATTCTTCATACAGTGACATTAGTTGGAGAACCATTGAAAACTTAAGGGCACTGGGCAGATGTTTCATCCTAGTTTCAGACCAATCAATAGTGGCACCTATGACTCTGCCAGTAGTCGAACCCAAGACACTGAAGTCTGACGGTGAGCATGTTACCATCGCTGTTAATTTGCGATGTTATTCGATCACTATGCAGTCCCATCGGCGAGTATTTGCTTTTATACTGGACTTGGTCGACCTCACAAGTCACAGCTTCTCATTAAGACTTCATCAAATCCATTTGAGTCATATCATTACTGAGCATTAGACAGTAGTTCAGTTTGGCGGCTTGTGTGGATTGATTAGTTTTAGAGTTACCTAAATGCCACGAAAAACTAATGGCCTTCATGCCATATAGTTCCTGGAGCTAGCAGAACAGCTCATCACGTCTGTAAGTTAATAACATTGTGCATCATTTTTAACCTCGAAAGTTAGAATAATTGCTCACAGTTTTCAGTCAGTTGGTCGATATCAACATGACACCTACCATTCCTGAGTAAAAGTTCATCTCACAAATCTCACACGAATGTTTAAATCAGTTCTCATAAATCTGCTGCTTTGTATGATGTGCTTCAATGGAGTGCAATAAGTTTTTACATTTGTATTGGTTTCCAAAATCTAAAGATATTTCTTGATATAGGTCAGTAGTGAAGTGAATTATTCGTGGGTGAAGAGCATTGTATGAAGTGAATATAATCCACTAGTTTAAGAAAATTTGGACACCTTCTTGAAGTGCATTTCTAGATTAGTTTAGTTTTTGTGACAATATCATTTACTGGATGACATCTAAGGCATAGTTTATCGCTCATAATCCGATAAAAGTGGCGTAACAACTTTGAGATCTAATTTCCATGGATCGACGGCCGTTAAACGGACAAAGAAACGATGAAAAGTGAGAGAATGGAGTTGATTAGACCATAAAAATAATGGCTGAAAGTTATATGATAACGCCCTTCTAGTAATCATACTGTATAATTTCTTCTCTGATTCTATTAAACAAATGAAGTACTGTTTAAATTTCATTGACAATTTTGTTTCAGAATCCATTCGTATCTCATCAACAAGAATCTCTTCCAGTCACCTGTTCATTGTGACAGTAGTTTACACTTTAGGTTAAGAATTTTTTCCCAACAAGTGATGCTTAGACTAACTAGAAATCTTCTACGTAGTTAGCAATCAATTAAAATATCATCCTTTCTTATAACATTTTCCTACAGTGGTCGTCTTTTGTTATCTAGTTCGAGGACCTCAGATATATTCTGAAGTCTATATCCAAATCCCATCTTAAATAATAACTTTAGCTTTCCTTTCTTGCTAACAAGTAGAATACCTAGTCAGTGGTTGTTTAGTATACAAGCGTTCATCTTATTTCGATTACAGTAATTCGCTTTTTTTCTGTTTATGAAGTGATTTCATTTTCTCAGCAGTATTCCTTGAAATATGTTTGTTCGCCCGTAATAGCATGATAAAACTTCACGAGGAACTGTATATCTTATCAAACTGTAAATGATAAGTGCAATTTGTTAAAAGTAGATTAACACTTGATCACGTTTTGACTGTCAAGTAACGATTTTACAGGCATCCACTGTTTCAAAATAAATTCATCCCCCAAGTAATATATTCTCAGCCTAGAAAATAAAAACAGCCGTTTACACTATTGGTATTCATGAGGTTGAATGATATTCTTATCACAGGTTAACGGTATTTCTGGTGGACAAACAGCACTTCACGCTGCTTGCCAAGCTGGCTACTTGGCATGTGTTATTTTACTGCTACAGTATGGAGCCAGACGTAGAAATTTGGATTCTACAGATAATGAAGCTATCCATTCAGCAGCTCAAAGTGAAAATCCTGATATTTTGAGACTTTTAATGAGACGAAACACTGTCAGAATATCAAGGCTAAGGAATATTGCTGGAGAAAATGATATGACAGAAGGAAATCTCGTTGATTTAGACGATAACTCTCCGGAAAATGAAGACAATATCCACTTAGAAGAGGACATTCCAGATGTAAATGCGAGAAATGCACTACGACAGACACCACTTCATTTGGCTGTTAATCGACAAAATATACCAATGGTGCAATGTCTCTTGGAAGAAATGAATGCTTTGACGAATTTACAGGTAAGAATGTAAATTTAATAACTGTTTAGTGTCATATTTAAGGATCAACAGTATTGTAAAACTTTTATTATGAACAGTCAAAATTTCTACATTTTCAGCCAAACAACTATTTAGTAAGACGTTTTGTGCGAAGATCAAAGTATGGTGGAAGATAAATGATATTATTCTGAAATGTAAGGTCATTTCATGAGAACTAATAAATTTAGAAAACTGTACTAGTGTGACAGAAATACACAGAATTCCCACTGCTATATTTTCCAGTCGCCCATGATATTCACCATTATTGAGTAAACGCTGATTTGGTAGACTTATCAGTCAGCTACCTCATCAACTTGAAAATTGTTGTCAAGTTTCGTATTAAGTTACTTGAAGAATCGAATCGTCGTTTACCCCACTGTCACTTTTTTACTAATGAATTTTAGATGGTATCACAGTTTGCTTCCATTATGGTTAATCAGATACAGACTTAATTTGTTAATGCTTAGGTGGAGAACAGTAGATATGATTGTGTGTGTAAAAAAAATGTAGTAGGGCTCTTATGGCATCTCAAGGATACTTACCTCGATACTAATGACAAACCACCGATAAATTCAAAGCATTTAGAGGAAATTGAGCAAAAATAATCCATCTAATATGGCAAAATAGAAGCATTTTTACTGAATATCATTCCCATCTAGTTGTCATCTAAATCCTTTTTGGGTGGTTTTCTAAACGTCCAGAATTCATTTTCACTAACTGGAATTATCTAGATCTCTGACCATAATATCACCTATTTTTTGCTAGATTTTTTTTCCTGGCACTTCTAAAACCAATTCATACATAAGTTCAGCGTATCCTATAAAATTCTTTTGAACCTTGTAAGACATATATCCCTAGATTCTATACTATTCACCATAGCATGAATAAAATCGTAATTAAAGGTTACTCGTATCAAAGCATCTTTACAGGGAGCCAAAAAGCTAACGGTGGTTGGTCAATTCAATGCGGTGAGGTGAAAAAGGTGGAAATACCGAGTTTGAATAACAACTAACGCTCGCCAGAAAAAAGTGACTCTAGTTCTTCAGTAGCCCAGTAGAAACTACTCGGCAAATGGAGCGGTGGTTGGTGAGTTTGAGTCTTAGAACTGTAACATGTATTCAGGCACTTTTATTTGACAGGTCATAAATATTATAAGTTTCATTAATTTCACCATTAGCAATAAAGCCGCGTTTCCTGTAGAATTAAGATATGCAAACAAGGGTAAAATCTGAATACAGCCCTGACATGAGTCGGTAACCAGTGGGTCACCAATGTATCTGTATGGTTCATAATGCCTAACGTAGATCAAAGTATGTTAATAATAATAACTCACTCTATTCCAAACGATTTGTGGTACAATTTGGAATTCTCAGCTCGATATATTGCAACAACAAGGAAATATAAGTATGCATATGCTTCTTTACAACATTTCGAACTGTGTTATCATAAACATTTAAGTAAAGAATATTAAAAACTAGAAAATTTTACATTATTAGTTAAATTATTAAAATGAGATTTTTAACTATAACAAAGTTGATGTGTGGTTTCTTTTCTAACACTTTTTTCCTCACAAAATATGCGTACTAGGTAAGTTATAATAGAATTCTTACACTTAGCTGTACAAGCGTACGGTCTTATGTAGTCTTTTCTTGTCCTCCCTTAGGAAATACAAGGAGAGGGCTGTGGATGAAGTAGATGCACAGCGTCAGTTAAGATTTCTGTAGCTAGTTGCTTCCTGGAATTTAAATGTCTATCAACTACAGTGTTTATCAGTTCAGCCAGAGGCACACTACTCACCCTACTGACGGCTTGCGCAGGCCTACGCAATATAACATAATCCATTTCAGAAGACCAGGAAACATCAACGGGGAGCAATATAGAAGAATAGGTAAAATGCAAGAAATAATAAATTGTAAAAGAACAGTTGAGTTGTAGTAGAAAGCCTCAGTTTCGTTTTGTAATAGGTTGAACGAAAGATGTTTTACAGGTCAACAAGATATGAGATGACCAACGAAGGTCAAAAGTAAAACTCAACCCAAAATAGTTAAGACTCGATTTACTGTTTGAAGAAATGCCATCAATACAACAAGCGTCGTGAGATTTAAGCAGCTTACACAAGTCTTTTTAGGCCTGAGACTAAAGTTAAGAGTCTGACATTTAGAAGGGTTTAACTTGAAACTATTGGACAGAGACCATTGGTCAACTACAGACAAGAATTCATTTAATTTAGGATAATCTAAGTGAGAGTTGACTGGAATAGACACCGTTAGGTCATCAGTATACTTAACAAAATTAGTTTTAACAGAATAAGGTAAATCGTGCAAAAAAACAAAAACAGAAAATAAGAAAGTACAACACCTTGAGGCACACCAGCTTCAAAACGTCGAGCGCTTCCCTTTATGGATGGTGTACTGTTTCCTTTCAGAAAGATAGGAATACAGCCACTTTGTTACCTGTATCTCAGTATGTTATAGCAGTCTTATTTAACAAGAGTGGTGTAGGAACAAGTTGGCGGCTGCTGAGTAGTCCAAAAAAGCACAACGAACATGCTTAACACCTTTGTCGAGACTAGAAACAATATTGTGATGCAAGACATTAACAGTATCTAGAGTATTTCTCTTGTGTTTGTAAGCATACTGTTTGGATCTCTGAAAACCACCGATGAAGGCTCAAACACAAGTAGAAGTAATTTCTTCATTGTCTTCAGAAAAGGGGAAGTTGTAGCAATGGGCCGAAACGTAACATCCCATCCAGAAGATGAATTAGGCAAAGGTACAATTTTGTCTATGAAAAGTTTGTGCATTTTGGAGAGAATCGGTTTATTAGAGATATATTTTTAATGATTGTTTACACAATGACATTATTTAATTTACGGTAATAGTTGGAGCAAAATTACTGCCCATGATCACATCAATTGTTGGAATTATTTGTTCACACATTTACGGATAGAGTTTATATACATTGTATTTTCATTTGGTACCGAATGAAATAACGTCATTGTGTAAACATTCATCAAAAATATATTTCTAATAAAAAGGTACAATTCTGATCTCCCTCTAAGCAGCGGGTATATTGTTTTTAGATGATGTATTGAAGATATCTGTAAAGGGATAACGTAAACTATCTGCACATTTTCTAAATATAATACTAGAAAGACCATCAAAACAAGCTTTGGGAGGGATTCAAGGGTGTTAGAGATTTAAATACATCATGTCTATTAAAACCTGGAAAGCAGCTATCCATTTGACTTTGAACGTCACGAAGGCAGAAATCAGCTTGTCGATGTATAAATGACCTGTTTAACGCGCAAACATCCAAACAAGCTTCTTTTGTCGTCTGGTTTCTACCAGTAAGCTCTTTAAATAAGTTCCATACATTGGAACGGCTTTTACACAATAGGAACTTCTGGCTGTATTTCAAACCTAATTCAATGGTTAAGCCTTTTAGCCTCAAGGTGATCTCTCGCCTTATACAACCTTTCCTTTTCTCTTCGGAGTCTCTTGAGTTGTGAAGAGAAAAGTCTGTCGAATTTCATGTAGATTGTTTCAGCAGGGCGGCAAAGATCGAGACAGAATTTGAAATAGATTGTGATATTGACGATAATGTTGTCTAAAACTTCACCAGCAAATATATCCCAGTCTGTTTCTATCAGCATGCTTCTCAATGATGCTTCCCAATAGTACTAGAAAACTTCAGCCACATGAGTTAAAATTTCAACAGACTATAGACAAGAAGTTACCCAGAATCGGGGCATCCAGTTCAGTGAATTCATCAGTAAATTTGGCAAATCTGAGAAACTGCGGTCAGGTGTGACATAAATGTTTTTTATGTATATATGTTAGTATTTGCTCATATGTTTGGGATGGCATTAAATGTTAATGCACCCAATTTTTTCATTAGATAAGCAGAAGCATACATAGTTGGAAGAGGATCAGCTTGCACTGATAAATGTTGCTATACCACCTCCACATTTCTTCTTGGAATAGCTTTGATCTTGTCGAAATAAACTGAAACATTTAAGCAGACTAAATCATCATCATACAAGTCATTAAGCCGTGTTTCCTGTAGCATTATTACACCTATTTTTCAATAAATATTTATGGACAGGAGTGGCTGAATGTGATCAACTTTTTTCGGTAACAACCTGCAGGTTTTGCTGAGTAGTTCAGGAATAGTCATTTGATCTATGGTCATAAGCTTGAGAGCCCGTTGCCATCTACCGTAGTGCTTCTTCTTAATTTGCCTATCAACTTGGAAAGCGATAGGTATTAATGATTTAAAAAACGCGCGAGAGTATAGTTGAGGTAAGTTAACGATTAAAACAATCTAGAAAGGAGAAATTTGATGCAATATATTCATTGATAAAATAAGGTAGCCTGAAGTTCAAACAGGCCGCCATTTCAAGGATCCATTTTCGCGATCTGACTACTGAGTGAAATGACGTGACAGTGTGGTGCACTGCATTTTGGTATTGAATGGTAGCAGTCAGTAGTTAGGAAGCTTTAAACTAGCTTTGGAACTTTTTGTCACTTATCAAGTAGGTGTATCAGTTAACAAAATTAAATCAGTGTTTCCACAGAGTTCAGTAGTCGCCTGAATATCTCGTTAGTTAAACCTCCAATCTCATCGCAGAACTTCCTGTAGACTGACTTTCGTTATCTGATTCCAACCCAAAATACAAATCTTTCAGCACGGTTTTGATGAAGCAAGGGAAACAAAATTACCATGTCTATATAAATTGAACAAATTTTAACTATTCCTGTGAAACTATGTTTTGGCATTCTCATTATTAGGTTCGATTGTTCAACTAAGTGCAAAGCGAAATTAGCTTTTTTTGTCCTAATGGTCTTTAACACTACCAGTGTCTTTTCAGTCGTTTTTAAAATATTTTTTAAACAATTTACTGAAACTTTAATTATTTCACAATTCAGCAGTCAGCAATTCAAAACATGAGGTGTCGTGGAGGCATTTATTCTTCTTCT